CTTTGTTTTTAACTTAATACTCTAGAAGCATGATGGATAGCGGTCGATGAGTGGAGTAATAGTAGTAGATGCAGAATCTTTCGGTCTACTTGTCTCGGATGTGATGCCTATATACATGATCATACCTAGATATTCTCATAACTATGCTCAATTCTGTCAATTGCTCAATAGTAATTTGTTCACCCACCGTAGAATACTTATGCTCTTGAGAGAAGCCACTAGTGAAACCTATGGCCCCCGGGTCTCTTTCTCATCATATCAATCTCCGTCACTTTATTATTGCTTTGCTTTTACTTTGCTTTTACTTTATTTACTTTGCATCTTTATACCAAAAATACCAAAAATATTATTTATCATCTCTATCAGATCTCACTTTCGTAAGTGACCGTGAAGGGATTGACAACCCCTAAGCACGTTGGTTGCGTTGAGCTATTGTTTTTGTGTAGGTACGAGGGACTCGAGCATAGCCTCCTACTAGATTGATACCTTGGTTCTCAAAAACTGAGGGAAATACTTACGCTACTTTGCTGCATCATCCCTTCCTCTTCGGGGAAATCCAACGCAGTGCTCAAGAGGTAGCAGTATTGAATAGCATCAAGGATCTGAACATATAATCTTCCACCAAATAAACCAAATAGCATCAACTACGAGATGTAATCAACACTACTAGCAACCCACATGTACCAATCTGAGGTTTTGAGACAACGATTGAATACAAGATATGAGCTAGGGTTTGAGATGAGATGGTGTCGGTGAAGATGTTGATGAAGATTGGTCCTCCCATGATGAGAGGGTTGTTGGTGATGTCGATGGCTTTGATTTCCCCCTCCCGGAGGGAAGTATCCTCGGCGGAATTGCTCCGCCGGAGAGCAAAAGTGCTCCTGCCCAGGTTCCGCCTCGAAACGGCGGCGCTTCGTGCCGAAAGTCCTACCCTTATTTTTTCCAGGAAAAGTGGCTTCATATAGCAGAAGATGGGCCACGGAGGATGGCCAGGGGCCCCACTCACCACCAGGGCGCGCCCAGGGGGGTGGGAGTGCCCTGGTGCCTCGTGGGCACCTGGTGGGCCTCCTATGGTATTTCTTTTCTCCAGTACTTTTTATACATTCCAAAATAATTCTTTGTAAAAATATCAGCTCGTTTTGAGTTGTGCATAATAGGTATCTCTGATGTAGGTTTTTCAGGTCCAGAATTCCAGTTGCCCGCAGGAATCTTGCAAATTAAGAGAGAAAAGACATCCGAATTGCACCACAAAGTATTATATTGATAAAAAATAGCATAAATAATAGTAGAAAAACATGATGCAAAATGGACGTATCACAAAGTGAACTTAGTGACACGATCAAATGCTAAGCTTACGGTTGGGTTTGTCCATCACGTCATTCTCCTAATGATGTGATCTTGTTATCAAATGACAACTCATGTTTGTGGTTAGGAAACCTAACCATCTTTGATCAACGAGCTAGTCTAGTAGAGGCTTACTAGGACGTGATGTTGTTTATGTATCCACACATGTATTTAAGTTTCTGGTCAATACAATTCCAGCATGAATAATGAACATTTATCATGAACAAGGAAATATGCTAATAACCAATTTATTATTGCCTCTAGGGCATATTTCCGACAAAAGATGTTCAAATTGTTGATGGAGGCGACCGAGAAGAAGCTAGCACTCGAAGGGAAGAGGGCCATGACCGAAGAGAAGAAGACCATGCTCGAGGAGAAGAAGACGATGCTCAAAGAAAAGAAGGTGAAATCGCAGCCGATGCGGATGACACCAAGATGTTGTCCTTGAATTTGGAGTCTTTGGATGCCGACGCAAGAATGATCGTGCAAGCCGTCCGCTACAAGATGTTGTAGCGACAGAAAGATGAGTTAGAGGCGGCGGAGAAGGAGGCAGAGGCTGTCTACGCGGCGATGCCGACACCTTGATCGTGGAGGCTTAGATTGCCAGACCGGTATTATTTTGTGACCGGGCATGTGAAAACTAAGCATACTTGCCACTTTTTGGTTGTGATCGGGCATGTGATACGAAGCTGGTGTGATCCTGTACGCGCTATGGACCAGACTTTATTTGGATTTCAAATTACCCTATATATAATAATAACATTTGATGGTCGGCTCCTGCACCCATGTTCGTGGACTATCCCCCCTATCCATGGATAGATGCAGGAGCAGATTTGCGGGTCCGCGTTGAAGATGCCCTAAAAGGTTAGACCACAAGTAACTCGTCACATCCATGGAAAAAGTTTCACAATTTTTTTAAAGTTCAATTTTTTGAAAAAAGTTCAACAATTTTGGAAAAGGTTCATAAAATTCGGAAAAAGTTTGCAAATCTGAGGAAATTTCAAGACTTGGAAAAGTTCATAATTTGGGAAAAGTTCAAAAAAATGAAAAAGTTCATGAATTTGTAAACTCGTTCACAAAAGACTTTTAAAAAGTTTGTAATTTTTAAAAAGTTCATGAAATCCGAGAAAAAGTTCATAGGTTTGAAAATGGGAAATGATTCTGATCAGCCGACCAATCTAGCATGGGGCGTCCGCCGCCTCATTCACTCGACATGTGGCCTACTGGACCACGGCCGTCTCTCATATTATCTCCGCAACAATGGTGTTGTTGCAAAACAGTGGCAATGAAGGATTGTGCAAGTGCGCGAGCGGCCGGAGATGCTGTTGCAATTTTCGCAACACAGAGTTTTTGCAAAAAAAATTAGATGCGGTCAAGATGCTACTGCAATTTTTGCAACAAAAGTCTTGTTGCAGAAAATTAAAGAAAATATTGTGCAACATGAGCCTTGTTGCAGAAAAATAAAAAGAGGATGTTTTGCAACAAAGATCTTGTTGCAAAAATACATTCAACAAAGATCTTGTTGCAGAATTACATGCAACAAACGTCTTGTTGCAATAAAAGGGAGGAACGATATAGACAACTCCCTCATAAACGGCTTGTTAGGCGGCGGATTTTATAAAAAGATTGACCGACGGACTATAGCATGCCTCTTTGAAAATTCGCCCGCATGGTCCCTACGGTCTCACAATCTTTTTACAAGGGGTATATTATTATTTTGAGATATTACATGGGGTATATACGGTGAAGATGCTATTGTAATTTTTGCAACAAAAGTCTTGTTGCAGAAAATTGAAAAAAAGAATGTGCAACATGGGCCTTATTACAAAAAATTAAAAAAGAGGAAGATTTGCAACAAAGATCTTGTTGCATACATACATGCAACAAGAGCCTTGTTGCAGTAAAAAAGAGGAATGATCCAGACGACTCCATCAATGAATCAAACGACTTCCGGCAACAGACACCTAGCATGCCCCTTTGAAAATTCGGCCGCATGGTCCTTGCTACGCATCCACCGACCGATCCGCGTGATACGTCCGCCACCTCAATGGTCGTTCAATCTACGCATGCGCAGCTGTCCGATCGATCTCCCGGCACGCGGCTCGGTCGCCTCCCCACTCATTAATTCTCAAAACAATGGGCGTGTTGCAAAAACAAGCGCTTTGTCCTGGCCCCGACAGACCTGCGCCCAGCGTGGCGTCGCCCCCAACCACCGCAAAATCAGCTGCCGCCGGCATGGGGGACCTCCATGGTGCACCACATCGCGCGCCAAATGGTAGGATCGGACGCCAATCTAGCTCACCGAGGACCCCTGCTTGGAGAACGGGTGCGACCCTTTCTCAGCTCCAAGCGTCGCCCGGGGGGGGGGGGCTTCCGCTGCGAGCTGGATCTTCCACTTGGTTCACAAGTGCTCCGGTGGTGTTTCCTGAAGCTCCATCGAGCAGATCCCATCAACAAACTTCGGTGAGTTCCTGTTTTTGAAACACTAGCTCTGTTCCACTCTGAAACATGAACACCTGTGTGAAAAACAGAGCAATGAGCCTCCCAAATTTTAGTTGCACATGAGCCTCCACATTTCCTGAAACATTAATAATGGCTCTGCAACAATTACTTTGTTGCAAAACCACCGAAGTGTTGTTTTCGCCAGAATTATTTAATTTTGCCTTCAACGTTTTTTGCAACATAGATGATGTTGCGGGAGGACTTTTGCAAAGATGGTGGTGTTGCGGATTTTTTCTGTCTTCACCTTTTTTTGCAACATAAATGTTGTTGTGGGAGGATTTTTGCAACATGAATAATGTTGCAGAATTTTTTTCACCGAAAAGATGATGTCGTTTGCTGTGTGAATCAAGAAATTTATGCAACAAAGTCATTGTTGCGGGAGGACTTTTGCAACAAAGCCGTTGTTGCGAAAAGTATAAAAAAGCATCCTGATTGGAGCAACGACGGAGGGCGAGAGCGGAGTCTAGAGCGGCGCAACAAGGCTGATGGTGACTGGAGCAGAGCTCGGGCGTGCGTGCTCGAGCAGCAGCCATGTCTGCGAGCGGGCGTAAGGAGATGGAGAATACGTAAGGAAAGGATAAGAGGACAAGGACACATGTTGGACATAGGAGGCGGCGGACAATAGCATTTTCCTTTTCTTTTTTTTTTGATCTTATAGGTTTTTTTTTTGGGGTATATGCGGTCTCACAATCATACGCTAGACCCGAGCCCATAAAAGTCGAACAGATAGATGCTGGACCTGAGCCCATGCGGCCTCGCAATTAGGTCAGAGCCAGCCCAGCTATCTACCAGCAGTAGTGACTATTACGCATCAGTGAACAACCCACCGGAATGTTTCTCCCCTATGACAAGCCCGCCCCACCGGAATGTGGTCCCGCGTGTCATCAAATGAAACATCGGGGCGGCACAAGCGACCCTGCTCCAGTGACGAGCCGGAACGCGATTCCTATCCCCAAAAGCCGAAAATTTGGAGTTCGAAAACCGAAAGACGCGAGCCGTTCCCTCCCAAAACCAAAATTCCGAAATCATCCCGCGCTCGCCGCTCCCACAAAGCGCCCCCAATCCAAACTCCATTCCCAGATCTCCAGCATTCCTCTCCCCCGCCCCTTCTCCACCGAAAATTCTCGATCTCGATCTCCCCCGTTGATGCGCCAATGGTGCGGGAGCTCCGCGCCGACTCCTTCTACGCCCGCCTCCGCGCCGCCGCCGCCGCGGCCGCGGCGGCCGCCTCCTCCCCGCTCCTGATCCTCCCTTCCGCCGCCGACGCCGACTCCCTCTGCGCGCTCAAGGCGCTCGCGCACGTCCTCTCCGCCGACTCCATCCGCTTCTCCATCTACCCCGTCGCCTCCTCCGCCGCCGCCGCCACCCTCCTCGCCTCCTTCTCCGCGTCACAGCCGCTCTGCCTGCTACTCATCAACTGGGGCGCGCACCGCGACCTCCGCGGCATCCTGCCCCCCGCCTCCACCGCGTTCGTCGTCGACTCCCACCGCCCCGTCCACCTCCACAACCTCGCCGCGGCCAACGACCGCGTCGTCGTGCTCTTCACCACCGACGACGAGCACACCGCCGATCTCTCCTATGATTTCGACGTTTCCTCCCTCGCCAACGCCTCCGACCTCACCGCCGACGGGGACGCCGACGAGCACCTCCGTGTTTCGGAGGAGGACGAGGACTCTGACGCCTCCGACTCCGATTCCGATGCCGAGGGAGGGAGGAGGAAGAGGCGGCGGCTCTCGGACGACGGGGAGGCGGACGGCGACCCAGTGAGGCTGTTCGGCAAGCTGCGGAGGGAGTACTACCGCCTCGGCACCTTCCACGGGAAGCCGTCGGGGTGCCTCATGTACGAGCTCGCCCACACGCTCCGCAGGAACACCAACGAGCTCCTCTGGCTCGCCTGCGTCTCCCTCACCGACCAGTTCGTCCACGAGCGCATCACCAACGAGCGCTACCAGGCCGCCGTCATGGAGCTCGAGCAGCACATCAACGGATCCGGCAACCTCGACCCGTCCGGCCTCGGGTCGGTGGTCACGCTGAAGGATGGAACCAAGATCCGGGCGCCGGAGGCCTCCCGCATCGCCTATGAGGACGAGCCAAGGCTGATGCTGCTGCGGGAGTGGAGTTTGTTCGACTCCATGCTCTGCTCCTCATATGTCGCCACCAAGCTCAAGACCTGGAGTGACAACGGGCTGAAGAAGCTGAAGCTGCTCCTGGCGAGGATGGGGTTCCCGCTCGCCGACTGCCAGAAGAGGTTCCAGTACATGAGCATGGAGGTCAAGCGCAAGATGCGTGATGAATTTGATCGGTTCCTGCCTGAGTATGGGCTCACTGAGTTCTACTACCGGAGCTTCCTGAGGGTTCACGGTTACAGATCCAAGGTATCTGCTGCGGATGTTGTGTATGGCGTCACAGCTTTGCTTGAATCCCTGAATGCTGAGTCCAAGGACTCAAAGGAGTGTTGTGCTGCTGAGCAATTTTGGGTTGCATACTCTGCGTTGTCGTTGAGCAATGTGGATCAGCTGCGAAAAGGAATGCAATCTGCAATTGAGATACAGATGGCGATACTGAGGCAGGGAAGCTCAGCCATCACCAAGAGTGGATTCATACGGAGTGCAAAGAAGTTCCGGTGGGTGAAGCTTGATGATCCAGTGGACACTGCTAAGCTGTGCCACCCGCAGGCACTTACCAAGTTCTGTTTCTTTCTGATGGATGCACTGAAGGAGAGGGGTGCAAGGATGAAGCCGCTAATCTGTGCCTGCCTAGCAAGGGAGCCTGAGAAGGTGTTGGTCATTGGTGTATGTGGGAAGCCAAGGCTCGGGGCAGTTCAGGGGAACGCGTTCGGTAACGCATTTAGGTCAGCGGCAGAGGAGATTGGTGCTGATTATTTCCATGACATGTTTGAGTCATCATGGATTGTTCTTGATGTTGTTGCTGTCAGTTCTTTCATGATTCGGTTAACAGAGAAGCTTTGATGCCATGCTCGCCCCATGCTGATGATTCTTTCATTCCCAAGATGGGAAACCTGAGGCCTGTTCTCTCTAAATAAAGGAGGTTGACTGGTTGAGGATGGTGGTGCATGCCATGTTGTCCACCTGATATTTTCACCAAATTACAAATAGCAGCCTGACAAACAATGTAATCTGCAACATCTGAGTTGCTTGGCGATCATGTTTTTAGTGATAGAGGAGAGTTTGTTCCACTCTCCAACTGCCCCATTAGCAAAGGATAATCCAGCAGATTCAGATGTCAACCTGATTCTGACATACAAGGGGCAAGGTACACTTGCTTACTGGTTTCTCTACCTGATAGAATGGATGTTTGTATCTGTACTTGCATAAGCATGCAGCTTTATTGTAGGATAATGTTGTATTTGTTTCTGTATCAATAAAGTTGTGTCAACTTTTTAGTGTGCAAACAAACACGCGTTACTCTACTCTATGTTGCCATTCTTTACCTGACAGAATTGATGTTTGTAAACAATTTTTAGCTTAGCTACTTGAAATCATTCTTACAAAGTTTCATACCATTCTTACAATGAGAGCAAGCAATTTTGAACAGGACTTCTGTTACAGAGGGCCAATTTATCATGTCGTTCACAGGGCTATGGATGAACTGTCATTTTTCTGCCCAAATGTTCTGAACATGTAATTAGTCTGAACTCTGAAAGAACAAGTGTCATAGGGTACTTTATGAGACATCTAACTTGCAATTTGTGTGACTCAGAGGCCCTGTTGGCTGATTTGCGATATTGTTACAGTGATTTGATTCATTCATGTGCTCGCATACTGTTGATAGAAATCCTTAGTGTGTTGTCAGAAAATCATGGTTTTATCTTGAACCAGACAGACTCATAGATATTTGATGAGTGTGCCGAGATGTCAACACATGGTGTTTGTCAGTGATCTTTCATCTATCAAGTTAGTATAAGGACACTGTCCGTGCAAAGATCCAACCGATGCTATCTATGATCATTCTGTAGTTCTATGCTTGACATTTGTTTGTGGTAGATCATCAGGACTAGTCACTGCTATTCCTCTGTTCCTGTCCCACCTTTTCTTGTCCAGATCATAGTGGCCAGTTTAGGGACACCTCCCCGGTGCTCCTTTCATTCAAAGGAATTGCATAGGATTTTTGGAGGATTAGAATCCTTAGCACTTTTCCTATATTGGTTGTTTTATTCGTAGGATTGAATCCTATAGGATTTTTTTCCTAAGGAATCATTTGTACTACATTCCTTGTGCAGGTAGGTTCTGCTACTTTACACTTTGGCAGTTCTACATACAGTCCCCACCATAGTTGAGATAGAATTCCTTGAGGATACCGTTGACGCGTTGTAGAATGCAGTCATGGTGGGCCGTGGAAGATTGTATCACTCGTGGGCCAATTCACTGAGCAGGATTGCAAACCTGATAAACAGGCCCACGTTTCTCTATCCCCCATAGTTCAATGTAAGTTCGTCTTCTTTCCACACAGCTGCTCCGTCTTGGTTTGTTAGAAGCGAAATATTTCATCCAAACCATCACTTCACAGTTCTTCTCAAATCAATCACTGCACATTTCTTCCCAATCATCTGTACACAACGGTATCATAAATTTTACACAGCAGTATATTGTTACGTGAATTTTAGGCTTCTATTTACAGTTTTCTTTGCACAAAAATGCCCCCTCCCAAGAATTTTCTCTCCGCATTTTCCTGTTCTAGGTGTGAAACTGAGTCTTGACAAAGGTTGATGGATGTTGCCAACCGCTTAGCTAAGTTTGATGAGTACACATGCCACATATGGAGAGTTGAAGTCTTGACTGACAAAGACATCAAACGATGTACTGTGCACTGTTACCCTGGGTTGCTATCAGTATATCAGATGGTGTCCATCTGATTGGAAACGGTGAGCAGTCTTAGACCACATCTTGAAGGGAGCTTTGTACCGTCTGTGCTACTTAGTTTCAATCAGAAAAGTCTGTTTCAACAAAATATATCCACATGTTGCAGGCTACCTATGGTTTTTTGTGTTGTTTGACATGCTGGGCTTCTTCAGGTTAAGCTGGTCGTTCTCAATCACTGAACTGCACAATTCATTGTGCAACTTGATACTTTTATCAGTTTTATGGAATTGCAATCAACTGGTGGACCCATCCCAATTCCTTGCAACTGGAATAGTTATTGGTGTGATGCTACCCTTTTAAATTTTGATTGACAGGTTACATAATGCTGCAAATAAGTCATGATCACACTGGCATTGCAATGTTAGCCCATACTGCAACTGTACCTCATTTCCTTTTTCTGGAGGGAAATGTAGTACCTCATCAAGTATTTACCTTGATTTCTCGATGTATAGAAATACAAATTGATGGTTAACTTGGAAGAGCAACTAGGTTGAGCATAAAACAACTTCCTCTTGGCTTTCAGAGTGCAATGGTTGTAACTTAAAATCATACGTCAGAAGTCGTAATGGAGTTGTCCATTGGCTGGTAGTCTACAACAGAAGTCAACTCTATCTTTCTTGATAAATGAATCAATCAACAATCAAACCAATCAGTTAGGACATTTATGGCACTAACTTTGCTTATGTTGGTGAAAAACAATTCTCGAGTTACTAATTTTTACATTACTCTCTTTGTGCTGATGTTTCCATTTCCCCTCTTTTCACCGTGAGATGCAAAAATGATCTTAACATCTGTTCAATCCCTAGGCACACTCTATCATTTGTTCATTTAAAACTAATTTCAATTCAAGCCGATGGCATTCTGAGATCGCTTGTCCAGTTCTTGAAAGGTTAATGTGCTGAAGGTTTCCAGACAAGCAAGTTGTGCTTTTTTGAGAGAAGGGCGTGGAGAATAACCAGTTTTGGTTTGCACTGGCTACAATTCTTGTAAATCAAAGGAATATTGACTTATCCTTAACCTCATAGAGAAGTCTGGGAAGTGGGAACTGATGTTACTACTGCTTCGTGACAGCTTTTGAGACTCATCATAACTGGAGATGATAGCCACACATCCCAGACTTCTTATTTCTCAAAACATACAATCAACTGATGGGTCTATTGATGAATTCATATTAATGTTTCCAACGGGCTGATAGTGCTACTTTTTTAGCTTGAATTTGCACTCTAGTTTGTGGCAAGTGGATCGATATCTTAGTCTAGTTCTTTGCTATGACGTAGGACCTTGACACGTTAGCTGGAACAGATAGCAGGCAATGTGGCATGTTTCATAGCCTCTTAAACGCCATATCAAGGCTATCGATAGTGTGCTGGTGGGGAAAATCTGCATTGAGTAGGTGGTTACAAAATTGTCTACAATAGACGTGTATGTGCCTACGACGTGACAAATAAAATAAGATTATGAGGATGATATTATTTTATTTTAATTTGTTGTTTAAACATATTCTTGCTGAGTTACCTAATTACATTTTTAAAATAGAAGCATCCTTTACTGGGAACAATATGTAGGTGAAAATTTTACAATGAACATGTAATGACTGAAGCAAATGCATTATTAGTAGGTTAACAGAAAGCCGCAATTTTTCTGCAAATTGTAATGCCTTTTTGAGCTAAATGCTGATCCTAACTAGTAACTACTAAGAAGCAAGTGTGCCATATGTTCTTCTGCATATTCATTAGTTTGGTTAGTAGTCTTGAAATGCATACATGCCTATCATAGCGGTTGCAGATTCCATTTGTATCTATCTTCCTTTTTAAAGGATCTTTATGGTTATCTTCAACTTGCATATATTTTTCACTTTTGTCGTTTCTTGTACACACGAGATCCTGCAACTCCAGACACAAGGGTTGCTTACTGTAATTTTGCAGATTTGCTAGTTCCATCGGGTAGGTGAATTATCTAAATGCACTGGCATGTGGAGCCCTTTGCACTTCATGGATGTACGTTGAGCTTGATTACATTTACTGAAACGTAGGGCATCTATAACACGTCTCATAAGTCATAACAGTAAGGTGGTATTAGTATGATTATTAAGGATTCAACTGGAAGCAGTTCGTCTGTGATGCTCTTGCTACAAAGTAAAAGAATTGGATGGCTGAGGTGGTCCTTTCAGTGCTGCTTTGGTTAGTAGTTGGGAGGTAAGCTACTAACTCTTTGTGATGATTATGTGGAAGACTAGTACTTTCATGTGAGCTAAGATATGAGGAAGTTAAAGCACTACCCAAGGGTGTCCTTGTTGAGACAACCTTTCGACCTAAAACACTGCAGGCTGTTCTCTTGTCATCTGTATCCCATGCTCTTTTCATTTGTATCAGCAACTGCATCTGTATTTTGTTTTAGAGTAGTCTTGTTTGGCATGATTCGTCTTAGTTGGTCCATGTGCTTGATCTTGCCCCCTTTTGGCACCCTGATCTGTATCTTTGGATGCATCCATTTAAAAGAAAAGTATTTGTGTTTTGCACAAGCACAAGTTTAGTTGGAGCCGGAGTTCTTTGAATAACAGGATATTTTTTCCAGTTCTCCAAGCCATTTCACGTTTAATCATAGGTTAATTAGTTTGGAACTGTTTTAAGCATTCAAATGATGATTCCACTAGGTCAAACTAATCTGGTCTCGCAGAATGAATGATTTGTAACGGTTGATATTTTTTTTTACAATTTTATTCTCTGCAGGTATTAGTCTAATTAAGTCATCAAGTGTCAGGTGTATGTGCAATGTTCCCTCCGTATAGATTTCCCTAAATTGAGGCAATACCAGGCCCACCATGTAGCAACTACACTAATTGGTGATTATTACACTGATGGGGATATTTGGATCTCACCTCATGGCCTTGTAGACATAGTAGTTTCTTGTGTAATTAGGGGCCAGATGGTTGTAATTTCTTGAATAACTATGCATGTATAGTATTGATTTTTCACCTTATAAAAACATAACTTGTCCTTGACAAAATAAACTGGAATTAGTGGGAAAAAACACAAAATGAGTCTAGCCACCTCATGCAAGCTTTCAGTACAGTGTAAATTAAATTAAAG